CCCCCCCCCCCTAAAATTTTGGCTGGATCCGCCCTTGATCTTCTATATAAAAGGGAAACTCAAAGTGTGAACTGGGTACAAAAAGCTTATAATGTTGCAAAATTGTAAAAAAGGCCTTTTTCAGTGAGAAGCGACTTGGAGCCGAGGTGGTCAATCTCCCCATTTGATAATTCAAGAGAATTCCGGATCTCTTTCCCCTCAAATAAACCTATCCAGGTAGTTATAAAAACCTCCTTGATCTACTAAATAGCATGAAATAGTAACGTATAAAATCGTATACCAAGGCAAAGAAGTTCAAAATATTACAGATTAGGATTGGCGTTCTGATTACCAATAACATAACGAGGATATCTTTTTGTTATCTTTCTGTAGAAGAAAACATTGAACTTTGAAATTATATTCTGCAATTTTTCACGCCTTCCTTGCAAAATTTACTAATTGAGAAGAGTGAAGTTATTGAGATGACCCTACTGGAGATGAAACGAGCGAGCGTGACAGTAGTGAAGGTTATTGAAGTAGAGAAAAAAATGCATACCATTTGCGAGTGCAAACCGCAACCCCGTCTACCCCCACGAATCGTTTAAAGTAATAATGCCTACGAAAAAGCAAAGATGAAGGGTCAAATTCTTGTGATTGTGCCTGCCTTTTCTATTCGTTGTTACAACTATGATGACAGACGGTAACAAGAGTCAAGCAGCTTACTTTCAGTTTATTCGAAACAAATAGTTCGCTTATATTGGCTTACATTTTATATTAGCTATAACCAGGTATAATACTGAGATTTTATATATTTATTTTTTTGCGGGGGAGGGGGATTTTGCGTGACGATTTCGAAAAACTCTCAAGTAAAGTAAAAGGGTTTAGTTAGTTAAAAAAAGAAAAATATGAATAAAACAAAGCTAGTAAAAGATGGTAGGAAAAAGTTCTTCATACGTATATCTGATCTGATAGCAAGGTTGATACGATCATTTAATCAAATTGAATCACGTAAAGAAAATGTTCAGTTTGAGTAAATAGCTAAAAAATGGGGAAAAGCGATAAAAAGAAGGTAAGAAACAAATCTGATATAACAAATTTAAAGAGCGAGAAGAATCACGCATTAAAAATCGTACTGGTGAAAAGAGCGAAAAAGGATCACAAAAATTTTTTAAACGAAAACCCCCCCCCCCCCCCTAATATAGCTTTGGTTGACACATTAGGTGATGCATGACGTAAGAAAAAGAGCAAGGCTGCAGATAAAAGTACTGATGATGTTTTGAAATCCAGGCTTTTATGCTTTCATATACAGTCATACAACCTTTGGAGTCATTAAAGGTGGAACGTGATGAAAATACATGTCATGAGGATGATAAAACTAGTTCATGAAGCATGAAACAATGGAAAGGCAGGGCAAGGTATACTATGTCCATTGAAGCTAAATAAAGAAGCATTCCCTTGTTACAAGCGGTGGAGTGCCGGAGGCAAACTAGGGGAGTGTCATCAACTTTCTATACAGCCAGAAAGGGAGGTAAATCTGTATAATTGTGTGTGATGAATCTATCGGTTCATCCACGGTAGGAGACTGAAAGAATGATGGGAAGGGTCACGATATTTATCTTTTTGGAGAGAAGGAGAGTGGTTGATATTTGAACGATAGCTCACATTTTGCTCATATGACTAGCTGTTCCGGCCTTTCAGCCTTTCTAAGAAAAGAGTGCTCTTCGACTTCCTTAAGCATAGACACCTAAAAAAGCTTATTACCTAGCCGTTGACGAGCTTGACACTCCAGTCAGGCAAAAAGGCGGGACAGACGGCTGGGAAATCAAAAATGATGGATAACGATCATAAGGTCAGTTTACACGATTTGGCAAGACTCTTTCTTGTTGATAAGGGGAAAGTTGATCTGAAAAAGCTGCAAAGTCTCCTAGCATCATAAAATCCTCATAGGAGTCGTCGTCGTCATTATCATCATTGCAGCATCAGCAGCTATATGAGTAGTAGTAGGTGGTGGTGTGGTTGTAGTCGGTAGTCGTGGGTTGTGTATAGTTAAAAATAATAAATCTTTATTTTATATCACGATACCGGCGGGGATTTGTCGCCGAGTCTTCTTGCTTAGTCAGAGGCTAACGTTACTATCACTATATACAACTCTCAACTCATGTTGGCGATGCAACTCATGAGGGCGATGGCAGCAACGCACGGGCCACAGCAGTATAGCAGCAGTAATAAGAGCAACAAAGATGCTGCAGCTGTTGCATACACTGTTGATGTGAGAATGATGGCATTCGTCTAGTCGTGACTATTCATAATTTATAAAAACACTCTGAAGTGAATGTATCTGATAATCAATGATTTAGTGGATATCATTAATTACAGAATTGATTGCAAGGCTTTATTCCGAGATGCAACTCGTATTGTAGAAACATGTGAAACACCAAATACATTTATTGATAGGAAAAAATAATGTACCACGTACGACGTTCCTACATTTCGACATTTCTACCTTTCGGAAAAACAACGTTATTAATCGAATCTACAGCACTATATCTAGTGATCCTTTTGAGGTTTAATGCAATTTTGAACAGATTATACCGGAGAGCCTCGGTATCGTGCTAGAATTTTAATATCTCGTACGTGGCCCATTGAGAAACTTCTAATTTGAAAGTGTGGAATTAGAAGAAGAGGGTTCAAAAGAGACATAATAGTTTCTTATATCTAAACTAAGAAACCTCAAGCATTTTACAATCGTAACATTGCTCCCAATTTCCTGCATATCATAACTTTTTAATAAAAAATCGAGACACGGCGCCAAAACATGTACGGCCGAAAGTCAACCATAATTAACTTCGCATTTGTTGCATTTTTTCCTAAATACTAGAAAATTAGCGTAAAGAGCTCCATATGCATGTCGTATTGGCCCTCTGTTAACTGCATGACGCATCTTTAGGAGTCGACTATTAATAACTACGAACGATGGAAGCTATAAGTTATTGAAATTGAATCTATTATTCTGAAAAAGAACAGCAAATTAAAAAATAATTGAGATCCTAAATACAACCACTGGTATGCCGATCTAAGTCAAGGCACGTCTAAGCATACAGGTCGCAACCCTGAAACCACGCCAAGCAGGGCACGTCTATCTTTACTTATGGAATTTAGCTGGCTCAGAGAGACGAGAGAGAGGAGAGACCGCGTAACAAACCTACTAATTCGTTTGTTATAAACATCTTTTGATCAATTTTCAGTATAATATATCTCGCGAAAAATAACGAATTAGGTCTGATTCTTTGTTGCAAGATAATGTGTCATTTAGTATTGTATTAGATATGGTATAACCACGACCCTGATAAAGCAACTTCATGGCAAAATCATAAATTAAATTAAGTACAGGTGAACAGGTGAGAAACAATCTGAATGGTAAAGGTGGTGTGTTTGTGTTTGCGGAGGAATTTGTTTTGGTTTAATGGGCGTGTGCCTTGGATCGTTTCAAGATGAGGATATATATATGAGACTGGCGCCATGTTGAGATATTAGACGACAGTAAATGCATGAAGACCAGTAGAAAAGCCGAAATAAATAGAAAAGATAAAAAGAAAAAGGAAGGAAGGAGGAAAAGGGAAAGATATATCTAAGGAAGGAAAGGCAATGATTATACATGAGGAAGGAAGGAAAGAAGAAAAAAATTAGGGAAGAAGGAAAGAAAGACAAAGAAATAAAACCAGGAAAAAGAAAGGAACTGAAAGCAGACAGACAGACAGAAAAAAAATGAAAGTAAGTAAGAAAGAAGAAACAAATTAGGAAAGAAGGGGAAAAAAGACAGAAAAAAAAGGAGAAAGAAAAAGAAAGAAATCGAAAGACAGAAACTGAAGCCGAAGAAATTAAACATTTAACTATAACCGTAGAAAGGAATAAAAAAACTATTAGACTTGACTAAATCAATACATATGTGACTGAATCAATTAATAATACCGTAAGTAAATATATACACAATGAAACTAGCAGACGAAATGAATACTATATGACTAATTAAAAACAAGACCAAACGAAACAGCCAGATTAGCTATACCACCAGCTATGCCACCTCTAACCCTTATCCTCTCATATCTCTACCAGCAGTCACCACTCGTAACTAGTAATGGTCCAAAAAACACATGGAGCAAAATTAATGACTCACGGTACGTTTTGAAATTAATGCCAGTTGAAAAAGGCGGCAAGCTTGTAGAATGATCGTTCAACTCAGTATTATAGCTGTTTTCCTACGAGTGGGAAACGTACAGTACTGACCGTTACAAATTTTACAGCACATACACGCCGTATGCCGTGATATTAAAATGATTCATTCCATTGTCGGTTTACCATTGATTCACAACGTGTAGTTACGACTACAGTAGGGCTAGGAATTTGCCGTACCGGTAAAATATAAAAGTATGTAACGAATTATGGTTTAGAAAACATGTGTTTCTTGGAACCCACCACAACGAATTTTTCTTTGAATAATGACTTATGTTTCTGAAAACATGTGGCATTGAATGAGCATTGATTTTGCGTCAGTCGACAGTGAAATAAAAAAAAGGCCATTTTTTCACAAAAGATGCGTCTAGGACTTTCTCCAAAAAAGGTCGCTGATTATTATGCATATGAAAACCTTAGCTTGGAAGCAAATAATCTTTTTCTTCTTCAAACAAATGTTTGGTATAAATGAATGATTGTGGAAAAAACATTAAGAAATGAAAGTTTAAATCATTTCTGCAAGTAGAATATGGATAGGAAAAGCAGCCAAAGTGATGTACTTATATCGAGTTTTGTTTATTGACTAAAACGCAACAATAGCCAAGAGACCACGTGACCTTTACCGAACAAAGGGTCCCAAGTGTATTGAAATGCTCGATCAATTTCCTACGGCGCTCTTGCGCTACGGAGCGACATGAAAGGTAGCTTTGAACTCACCATTCACTGTCTTTTCCCCGAAATCCTGGCACTGATTTTTAGTTATTTGGACGTCAGAGACAAGGGTAGAGTCGTTCAGGTTTGTAAGAAATGGAGGGAAGCAGGATATAATCGTCTTGTGTGGAGAGGTGTTCAGGCAAGGCTACAACTGAGAAGGTCAAATCCGTACTTATTTCCCTCACTCGCCAAGCGTGGTATTAGGAAAATCCGTATCTTGAGTTTGAAAAAGAGTCTCAGCTATGTTGTGCAGAACTTGCCAAATATCGAGAAACTTAATCTGAAGGGATGTTTCAACGTGACGGACAGTGGCATAGGACATGCTTTCACCAAATGTCTTCCCTCCCTGACAGTGCTAGATTTGAGTTTGTGCAAACAGATCACGGATACTAGTCTAGGAAAGATTGCTGAATTTCTTCAGAATCTTGAATTGTTGGACCTTGCTGGATGCTGTAATATAACAAACACTGGACTGCTACTTTGTTCTTGGGGATTACCAAAGCTACGATACCTTAACTTACGGAGTTGTCGGCATATATCTGATGCAGGTATACTTCATCTTACCGGCCTCTCAAACAACAGCAAAGGCCTCGGCAACAAGAGTTTAACAACTTTATGTTTACAGGACTGTCAAAAGATCACTGATAACGCTCTGAGGCATATTTCCAAGGGGCTATCAAACCTAGAATGTTTAAATCTGAGTTTTTGTGGCAGTATAAGTGAAGCTGGTCTGTCGCATTTAGCAAGTATTCGAAGCCTTCGTGAACTTAATCTTCGATCATGCGAGGGAGTAAACGACGAAGGCATCGCTCATCTTGCAGTTGGAGGGCTTAATTTAGTGTCTTTAGACGTGAGTTTCTGTGATAAAATAACTGATAATGCCCTCAACCATATATCTAATGGACTACATCATCTACAGAATTTGGGACTTAATTCTTCTAGGATAACAGATGATGGACTGTGTACGATTACCAGACATCTTCGAGAACTGCGTGTGTTGAATATTGGACAATGTACTCAAATTACTGACCAAGCTATAGAATCTATAGCTCTGTATTTAACGTCTATTACCAGCATTGATCTTTATGGATGTACGAAAGTTACGAAATGTGGCTTGGAGAAACTCATGGGTCTTCCTAAATTAAGAGTACTGAATCTTGGTCTTTGGCAAAAGTAATTTTTAGTTATGAGAGTAATATTGCTAGTCCTTTCTTGATGTTAAGAAATACACGTGTTGAGTGTACAAAACAAAAAGAAGAGAAAATCGATATTATTTTTTTGATTTATTTTTGCGAGCTTAGACAAATAAAAGATGAAAAATTAATCAAGACCATGCCCAGGCCCAGCAAACGAAAAAGGTCAAGTTCCAGTGAAATGGCAACTTGAAAGTACATTTTTATTGGCATCTGAATTAATACTATCATCACCACATCATGATAATCAACTTTTTTAAGAGCATAAATCATTAGGATAAGAATTCTTAAATTCATCAAGTCAAAGGAAGGCTAGCATAACGATTAGACCCTAGAAAGCCAAGCAACTGCTTGAGTGTGACACTGAAATGGTTGCCCTTTTTGTAACACAATTACAAACAGAAAAAAAGTTTCAATTTAACTTTAGTTACAGTTAACTGTATAATTATTAAGTCATGTAGGTTCTTGGTCTACTGTGCAAATTGGATATTAGCCAGTTTGTTTTTAATAACTTTTTTCATATTATGGATCGAAGGTATGCTTTTCTTAATCATCTAACTTGTCTCAGCCATCAAATATTATTTTTTGAGGGGTATATTAATTAGGTAGTCTTTTATAACCATTTGAAATGGTTTAAAATCAAAAGTACTTTCTATCGAAAAATTAAAAAAATAGGTCTGATTGTTAAACACTCTTTTTTCCATTTCCTGTGAAAACACTTCAATCTCAAACTGCTAAAAGTGTTCATATTGTTGTAGATGTCTGCTTGCTAACAGCTAAAATCATTTCCTGGATGCTTTGTTCATTTTCTACATTTATTTGAATGGTTTTGGGTAATAGATCAGCTGATTCCCCACAAATTGACCCTATGGGTATTGAAATTATTATCTTAAAGGTACTTATTTCCACCAAATAGGAAACTAGAAGTCGAAGTCTTGGTTTAATTGGCACTGCTTTTAGATTTTGCATTAGGTATAACTAATGTATCTAAATTAGATATCTAAATTAGATATCTAAATTAGATATCTGTTTATAGTTAAGACCCTAGCAGGCAGGAAATATAAAATAATGTATCAGGCTGCTCTGTGCTATATATAAGATGTTACTAATACTTTATAGTAATTAATTGGTATTATAGAATAACCTGCATGGAAATAACCGTTATTCTACTTGCTAGCTTCAATTTTAAGCTCATATGAATCAATCTGCATGAGCAGATGCTGAAAAATTATGGTAAAAATGGAATAATATTTTAATTATATACAAGAATCTATTTTACTGGATAGAAAATGTGCAGTATGTGCTGCATACTTATATTTTTAATAATTGAAGATTAATTTCTAACATGTAGAGTGAAGTCATTAAACCCATGAAATAGATGTTAGACTAATACACATTAGTAGCCGTCATTCCATTGTCTTCTTTTGTGTCTATTTGACTATTACATGTTAATAAGTATTTTTTTTATTATTTCATGGGCTAAATGGCTTTTGCTCTGGTTCACTTCATTCAGGAGTTTTTTATACTATAAATATTATATACAGTGCAGTATTAGTCTAAATTAAGATGTTGAGGTTTATTACTCTATCTGCAAAAACCAAATAATAAAATTCATACTTCAAAGATAATTTTCGATATAGTTTCTTAATAGATCTTTTCCAAGATGGGAGAGCTATTAAAAAGTATTTGGCAAGATCTCATGCGCACATTGGAAAGCACATACAAAACTTTAAAAATAGGTTAATGAAGGTATACTTTGAAGTTTCTTTTAGTTCAGTAGCATGATTATTACTTTTTGAAAAATTATAGTTCACTTCAGACAAAGTCTTTTCTTCAAGTGTCGTAGAAATGGTTTTCAAAGGTTCCTTAAGAACACTGCATGAAAATGCCTTGATTTGATGTCTGTGCCTGTGAGATTTATGAAAACGTTCACGCATCTTGGAAATCTTCTATTAGAATTGATCTGTATTGGTATCGAACAACACCGTGGTACAATAGCAGATACGCAGTTGCCAGTGGCTTAGTCTGTTTTGTATTGCATTGATCCATTAGCTTTCCTGGGTTCACAAGGCTCTCTTGCTTTAGTGGTTCCCAGTCATAGTTTTCATTTAAGCTACAACCAGGAAACAATGGAGCAAGATAGCCTCCATAACCTTGGGTACCCATAAGTGTCACTTAAATGACTTAAAAAAACTAAGGAATATTTGACAGTGGACTCAATAGCTGTTTCATCCATTTCTTACCACAACATTTTTAGGCATTTTTTGACGCYACCGAGCATGACAGGGCAGAAAAATGGGTTCTACTTTCAACGTTTATGCCTTAATAAGCTTTGTATTTCATAAACAGGCTCTTTGGGGCTGATTAACAAAATACCAAAATTTGGGGAAATTCAAGCAAGGCGTTTTTGAGATAAAACGCCCTGAACGTTGGGAGAGATTAAATTTTTTTTCAGCACAAAAACTAACATTTTTCACTAATACCTCGAAGTAGAATTGCTCCAGGTTAGCAGAATTTTGTAAAAAGTTTAAAGCACAAGAGACACAAATGAAGCATGAATGAAAGTAGCAGCCTTGTCATTTTTCTGCTCTGTCACCAAGCATTGTGTAGAGTAGATGAACAAGTATTCATGCATAGTTACCAAAAATCAAAAAGTGAAATTATTAATCTTTGAAATACAATGCAGTAAAGCATGTCTTCTTGTGATAAAATGTTTTTTAATCTTATATGACCTTAAAAGGCAAAATTTATTAGACTGGACTTGCATGGTGGGGATGATGAAATGGAAAAAAGGAAATTTGCCATTCTGCAGTTGTCCTCCTTAGACAGTACAAGCATGAACACTAGTGCTTGTTATGGTATAAAAAATATATAGTGCCAACATAAGGCTAGAAAAAAATATTTAGGTAGTGATTGATTTGGTGTGGTATCACTAATTTACTACAAGTGCTGGCATATTATAATGTTTCAAAATGAGATTGTTACTATTATTTTTGATTTAAACATATTTACTCTAAACATTAACCCCAAGAGCAAAAGTGAAGAAGAAATTCATATTAAACGAGAAAATTCACAGATTCTTCAAACTTTTCAGTGGTCACTATTTGCCCAAGAGGGGTGGAAAGCAAAGGACACCCTGCCAGCAGTAACATAACTGTTAATTTTTTACTCACTTTTCTACGTTTTCATGAATGTTCTTTCTGATTTGTACAAAAAGGTAGTTATGCTTGAAGTATACTATAAGGTCCACTTGACCTTCAAAACAAGAGGCTGTGGTAATTTGTGGCTTGGCCAGGTCAAGTTTGACAAAAGCACTTCCGGTTAAGACCCAATGGAAAGTGCACTGAACTACGGGTGTGAGAACAGCTTCATCGGTACTAGAGGCAGTGTTACTGACGAACTAATGCGTGGGAAAGGTAGATAGAGGATGAACATTCTTCGAATACGTTGTTCTTTGTATAGCAGAGGCCACTTCTGTTTTGGTTCTAAGTACGAGGTAAGAGGCCGTCCACTGTGCTGGGGCTGTGAGGACAATGCCATCGTTACGAGAAGCACTGTGTTCATTGGGTAACTCATGCGTGAATATAGGATGGAATATAGGATGGAAAACGTTCAAATCTGATGTTTTTGTATTGTTGTTTATCCAGGTGAACTAAAACAACTTCCGTTTTAGTTTCGCTAAAGTAGAAGTAAAAGTGCATGCAAAGTGTTGCGGCTGTGAAAACAAAGCCTTGGTACGTTATTGACGAACTCACTACGTGTGAAAGGTAAATACAGGATTGTGGAAAATTTCCAAATATGATGTTGTTCGTATAGCTAGGTCAAGTTTGAAAAAACCACTTCCGTTTTGGTTATAGGTGAAAGCGAATCCATTGCCTTGCAGCGCCAGGGAGGATCATCGAGTACTAGCGCACGTGAAACGGGAATACAGGATGAAAACGTTGAAATGCGATGTTCGTTGTTTAGCCAGGTCAAGTTTAACAAAACCACTTCCGTTTCGGTCCTAAGAAAAGGTAAAAGTGCATGGAATGTGCTACGGTTTTGTTTATTAAAGCCAACAGGTGCATGTGAAACGTGTATTCGGAATGAAACGCTGGAGTGCGGTTTTCAACCCAAAAAGAGATCGTCGCTCTTTTCAGTCTTAGTGCCTTTTTAATTTTTCAAAAATCATCTCACGCAGTGACTTTTCTTAACTTTTTAAGACCATCTAAGTGCTTTGATACTTTTAAAGACTAATCGTGCCTTTTTGACGGTTCTAACTTAAGCCCCGTTTACACCCCGTTTTTTTTTTTTGTGATTTTGTCCATAATAAATAATGGCAAAGAACTTACTTGTAAAGTTTTTTTTCAGGATACCAAGATTTTCCTAGACGAATGTCTCTTTTGTAGGATGAGACAAAAGATTTCATATTTCCGAAAATTGCCACAAAAATTGCAGCAAAATTCGCCGCAAAAATCGCCAGTGTAAACGGGGCTTTAGAAACATCGCATTGCTTTTTCAGTTACTTCAAGTATCTTTAAAACAACCTTCGTAGTCTCTGTATCTTTCTACGGGTTTTTTAAAAACCATCTCAGAGGATTTTTATTTATTTACATTTTTTAGTGATACTGACTTTACAGGTCTATAGGCCCTAAGCTACAAATAAGTGTTTTACGAGATAGCTGGAAAACTATAACTTAGACTAGAACAGTACATAAAAAATAAAAGACTTTACCTTATTCGCAGCTCGTTCTTGTTCAGCAGAAGAATACGATAACGTCGTTCAGTATTTCAATCGTCCTCTCTGATCCTCAGGATCTGTCAAGTATACGCAAACAACCAGTTATAAGTGCCAATAAACTGATTCAGTTTATGGAAGACAGACTTGGCTATTTTGCGCCCAAGCAAAAGACGAATGAACAGCACGACAAAATGTCAGTACTAAGCATTAGTATGGCATGGCTCCCGATGCGTAGATTATTCTCATCTTTGTTTAGCATACTAAACCCACCCCGACGCCCTTTGGTAGCATCTATCTTTAATTGTCATGCAAAACTTCGTGAAGACAAATACCTATGATACCTTGCTATTACTAGATGTAAACTCAACCTAAAGGGGGACTTTTATGAAACGCGGCGATAACAGCACAATGGTTTAATAATCTTACATCAATGGGATAGACTCATGGGTCAGGATTATAAAAGTCACGAAAACAGAAGATCACCTCGGACTCACTCGACGTGTACAACTGTCGATCAACAAGAACCAAAATCACTTCATGTCGTTTAGGTATTCAGTATCAGTCTCATAATGCAACAGAACATTGGTACCATACATTTACCACAAAAATTACGAAAAAAAATAAAAGTTTGTTTTTGCGCAGAGCGTTTATGTTCTACCACTGCGTTTGAGAATCGGTGTCTTAATGATATGTCCGTCTACGATAAATTTACGCACAAATTCTTTATTCACACCTCCTTGATTCGTTCATTATTAACCCGAGTATCAGGCTCTCTTGGGGAGAGGGGGAAGGGAAAAGGAATTGAAATGGAATCTAGGAAAAAAATTTAGAATGGCAACTGAAGTTTTAGGAAAATAAGTGGATCATGATTTTTAGCGATAACTTTAGCGCAAATTTCAGCTGGCGCTCCTTATTCAAACCCTTAGCTAGGATCTCATGTTTTACCTTTTTTTAGATTCTCATTTGATCGTTAATAAGACATCCGTTTGATTAATGCGGATAGTTCATTATGTCGTGAGAGCAGTCGATACTGAAAACATCTCATACTCGCTTCAGCAAAACCTCTGCTCGCTGATTGAGTTTTAACAAATCAATCCTGAATGGGCCGGATAACTTGAAGAATTCGCCTGAGGGAAGGAACAGTAGCTGCAGTCTTTGTTTAGTGACCTGTATACCAAGATGACGAAAAAGCTATGTGGTCTGGCAACCAATCTCCCACACGTGCGTTATCTAACATTCCAAAACGTAAGTGGAACCAGTAAAAACGGTTTATCGACCCCCGCCTCGTTTTGCCAGCATAAGTGAAAAGAGTACGGAAATGAAATGATGGTGTTAATAGAATGTTATAAGAGAGCAGCACAACACGACTGAACTTATTCCAATTTATATAATGACGTCAAAATATGCTAAATGTTACAGCGAGCACACTCGAACCGTGCTTTTTGTCAAAAAAGTGCATTGTGTAAATTATCCCTTTAGTCAATCGATTGCAAATAAGATTTATTTTGATCACTCAGTGTATTTGAACCCCTTTAGCAGAAAAAAACCCTGAAGAATTAGATGCTTTTTTTATTGTTTTCCGTTGTGTTGACGGAAGAAACTCAATTAGCCCCCTTCCCCCTAAACTCAATTAGCCCTCCCTAAACTTTTGGCGGGATCCGCCCTTGTTTAGGAGATTTGAAATAGAAAGTCACAGGAAATAATAACATGAAATAAACTCGAATTTTCAAGGTTCGAGTGTCCTCACTTTAGGTGATAGTACGAAAAAGTGAGGCAAAACATTGATGGTAAACAATACCATAACATAATTAGTAGTGCAACGTCTCATCAAAAGTCTGTAATTAGATTTTCTTCCACAAGCGAAAGTTTTCATACCAAGTACGACATACACTTTCGCGGGTCTGGGAACACACATGCATATATCTATATTGGTTATTTTTTCTTATGTTTTAGTATTGCGCATTGAAGCAACAGAATGCGCTTTATAACTACTGTTTATCATCATCATCATCATCATCATCATTATTATAGAGGTTCTTAATGAGCAGTTAGTTTATTTTACCAATCTATATAAAGTCTTGTTGATTATCTCCACCGCTATCTCGTAGACTATACTCCAGGTCATTTCAATTAAACAGTGCACACTATGAGCTTGAATAGGAAACTAAGAAACTAACGATTCTTACTTGCAGTACATAAGAGATGAATTGTGGAATCATGCAGTAAACACCAAAATGCCTTTCCAGAACTTTCTTTTGTCAGTGATCCATCATGCAATTAAATAACGATCGTACTAAATAAGAATTTGCCCGCAGCACGAATCGTATAGACTGTCGTCTTTCAATACCACTCATTGTCGTACGATTTTTTAAAAAAACATTTGCGATTAAGTACTATCAGTTAGGAAACAGTATGGGTTGAATCGTTTTCAAAGACTTAACATTCTGATAACATTGTGGTTCACTATGTGTATAAAGAGGCCGATAATCCAAGTAGCTTATGTTGAAACTGATAACTATAGTCAATGAGAAAGCTTGTAAACTAGGTAGCACTTAAGTGGACCCACTTAAAGAAGCCATTAAACCTTTGAGATATCTGGCTGTGATAACTGTAATTTTGTTTACAGGGTATGGGATAAATCTTTAAAGGCTTATTTACGGATTATTATATTCACTGACTTGCGAGTGCTAAAGTGCACCTCTTGAAATTTGTTTAACACCTTAGGCAATTACCGATTAGTGTCTTAAATGATACTCCTCTAAAGAAGAATCTAAAGAAGAATCTGTTAGCAAATAACAAGCTAGTTTCGAAATCAACGAACTGGTATTATGAATATGCAACATATAGATAAGACAAGAGTGTTATTGATGTTCAGGCTGTATTTTCTTTTGACCGTTAACTGTGTATTTCACAAATGAAGTACTGTAAGCGATACGCACTTAAAAATAATTAAACCATGTGTTATTAATCGTTTAACAAATTTTGTCTCAATGAATTGATTTTATGAATTAGAAAATCAATGTAGTTCAATTCATTCTATTATATTTGATTATGCTAAGTGTTTGCTTGCTTTGTGATAACGGCGCAATTACTCATGGAGTGTCTGCAGGACTAAACGACATTAAAAGCTAGAGATATGTTTATGGGCTTATGTCCACTTGCTCTATACCTTTAAGTATATTATAATGAATTGATTCCCCATGGACATCTTACAAACAAATCATCGTAGCATTGTACGATTCGAGTTGGAAATAACTTTAAGCACACACTTTAGCGGAGAGCCCGCCGCCGGATTTCAGCTGCTACTACACCTTACCACTTCAAAAGTACTTGAATTAATTCATTATTATCACTTACCAATGGTTTGGCACTTCTTTAAATATCACCTAATTAACACCAGGAACAAATATAGGAAGTCAGAGTTGAACACTTATTCACCAAGCTTGTCTTTTGTTATGATTATGATGTACTGCGCGTCGGTGGTTTCTTGCTGAGAAGAAAAGATCCAACCAACCAAGTCTGGGGCGTGGAAACAATTTTGTCTTAACACATTCAAATCAATGTCAGTTATGACAACTATTCCATATAATGGCTTTGGCTTTAGATGAGAGTTCATTGTCAAGAGATCTGCGGTGTGTCAGGCTATGAAGGTGCTCTCTATTCTATGGAGGGGGGTATTTTGACTTCGCGTGTTGAAATAGCGTGTTTGACAGAGGTATGATTTTGATAACGCTCTTGGCATAGAATGAGCGCTTCCAACTTGACGTTTTTAGTAAACCAAAGGCTTCTAGATCTGCAGCGGAAAAGAAACATACAGAAAATAAATAAGGTTGTAAATATATTTCATTTTATTTATACACGCAAACGTTAAAGTAGACAAAAAATTTCATGAATTGGGTTCCAATCCAATTTGCCCAAAATAAATCCCCTTATCTTTACCAACTGCAAAACAATTGATTTTTTCAACGCATGGATTAAGCAAAACAAATAAGGAAATGATAAAAGCCTTCCTGCTTAACGCCTTTTCAATAGATTAATTTTAGGTAAAGGATTAGAGTAAAAGGTGTTTTGGGGTGCGAGGCTCTGCATGGTATCTAGTCTGCCTGCCTGAGGGTTTTACCCCCTTTTTCCTTGGCCTGTTAACATTAGTCTTTGATGTTTGAAATAAGGAAATATGTAAGAAATGGCAGCATAAGTAATGCTGGAATTCTAATGAATGCAATCTATTCCCCGATATTCACTTTGCCTTCGGCGAATAATTGTTTCAGTATTTGTAACACAAGTGAATCTAATAAATAACGGAGAGAGATTTTTTTTGTTCAAATTCTATTTAGCTCTGCAAGTAGCACAAATCGACACACAAGCATGCGCGTGCGCGCGATATAACAGCATACGTAAATTGTGACCAATGAGCGGGCCGGATTTATTATATTTACTTGTGTAAAAATGCTAAATCAAAATATAATATTTTCTTTGGATATCAGCCTTGCTGGGACCATTTAGTTGTTTCTCGTCTTTGTCTTATTAATCTTTTTGTTTATATATGATTCCTATTGTATTTGGTTAAGTGAAAAATATAGAAGATGGAGAGATGTCATTTGGCATTTAATATATAAAACTTTATTGCCTCCTAAAACCTACCTTACTAAAGGAGGCTCCTTTAGCTCTGCTACTGTGGCAGGGTTCCTCAAACCCTTCATTTAGCACTTTCTGGACTTTTGCAATGTTTTGTCGGTGTTCTTAGGTCTAAAGTAACTGGCTTTGATCTGATACAAGAGTCAGAAGGTATTTTAGGAAAAGAAAAAGTAACCAGCAATTAACTTCAAAGCAATAGCTGGAGCCCTGGCCACTGCTGGCTTATTATGAAAGCTCTGAGAATACTTCAGTGCCATATCAAATATTGAATATAAGCTGCTAACATTCACTTAGTATTATCAAAAAACAACCACTTCAACTAAAGTTTATCATTAACTGGCTATCAATATTGTTGTACAATAACCATCTTTGTCTTACACAGAAGAAACACATGGGTGGATTCAAGATGATGTATTCACTTGCCTTTCAAATAATTAGAGGGTTTACAGCAGCCATAGGAAGAACAATGGAATGTTTTGCATGACAAGAGATTTGACTTTTTAAAATTTGTTTTGCCATAGTTGTGGTGTGCCCCTCAGTTGTCTGTTTGTATTAAAGGTTTTGTAGTGGGGCAAAACCAATAGATGATATTACGAGGAGATAAGGACTCTAACTTCGAGTACTGAGGGGATATTTTGCAACTGCGTGCAACAAACGAGTAAGATATTCTCAACACGAGAAGATAAAATCTGTATCTCCAATTGCCCATGTAATATTCTGTTTAATGCATAATTGTCGATGAAATACAATTTTAGTGGATTTTTACTATTTAATGAGATTCCTAAGAAATCTCACCAATGGTGTTATCTTTACATGTGAAGATATTACTTTTTAGTAATAGATTAAAATAGATATTTCATTTATGATTATAAGGAGGACAGATAAGGGATGGGCCGAAGTCAATAAAAATTGCAAGACAATAAAAACATCTGATCTTGTTTTCTTCAACGAGATGCAAATGACAGAGATCATATGGAGAGGCCTGTGGGGCTTTAGTCTCCCCATTTTTGCTATAATAAACCATTCCAAGGTGGAGGAAAAAAGTGGGTCAAGTTGGCATTGCAAAGCATCATAGGGTCGTATTTGGGGGCACACTCCTAAGATAGCATCTACTTGATCCCTAAAACATTCTCAAAATGCACTGCAATGCATACTTGACCCAGAATTTTCCTCAACCTTGGAATGACTAATCATAATACTATGTCTTCTGAATTTCCAAGATTCAGCCCCATCATTCCCCCTCACATTCAGAAGTGCCATGTGGTGGGCATGTGAGGCACGAGAGGATGGGCTGGTAAGCTGAGGAGGATGGTCTAAGTCTATGCCCTTCAACTCATAGTCTTATCAATACTAGTTAGTCTACTATCTCTTTAATCTATCCAAGGTTTTACACAGTTCTTGTTTATTTTAATATCAAAAAGTAGCTCATATCATGATAGCAGGCTTATATCTAATAGAATATTTTTAGATTTAGCTTATAGTGAGCAACCGTTAGGCTTGTTATAGTTGATAAGTTTGCTTCTAAAACAAGCTTAGAGTGATTTCACTTCGCCTGTGACTCCAAAGTTGTAAAATTAGTGACTGAAAGTCCAAGTAAAACAAAAGAAAACAATGGAATTTGTGTCTACTACGATTTAAATTATTACGTCGACTCTTCTTTCACGGGCGAAGTAAAATTATACAAAGGCGAGTTTTGGTACAAGTTTTAGTCGTACTACCTACTTACCTAGAACAACAAAAGAAAGATAATTTCTGTTTACTTATTGTTATTCTTTCGTATAAGTATGATAGATAAATTATTTTGTTTTATAAGCACTACAAAGTAAGAAGAGTACGAGTCACACTGTAGCAAGCTTACCTTATTTTGCCAGTTTTTGCCTTGCTTTGAACTCCAAAGAAAGGCAAGGAAGATTGAACTTTTATACAGTAAAGTCGTAGACAAATCCTCATATTTCTAATTTATTTATAAGCTTTGTTTTTCGTTTAAATGTTCTCCATGTACGACTCAATGCTAATGTCCAACTCAATGAGTACAGTATCAACAAACATGGCCGTCTTTGTGTTCCCGTGTAACTAGTCTGCGCACCAGCGTCAAATGCAAAAAAAGGCGGGAAAACGAACAAGCAATTTGATCGGTGCACAGGGAGCCCACCATTTCAGTATGGTTGTGTTTAGATTAGCCTGCGTGCCTCCGAACGTTTACTCGTAAAGTCCGAAAGAAAATTCCGGATGCAGTGCAGGCTATGTTTAGATGGGATACTCGACCTGAACTGCGAATATCCCATCTAGACACAGCCTTTCAGTATCTTTTGTAGTTATCGAAGCAGGTTGGGGTGGGGTTGTTGACAAAGTAACTGACATAAAAAAAGGTATAAAATAAATTGCGCCGTTAATTTTAGTCTCCCCCACAGCCGCTTTCAGTGTCGTCACGCAACGCTTGAGAAAGCGTTGCGTGACGACACTGAAAGCGGCTGTGGGGGAGACTACGTTAATCTGGGATCGTTTACAATGTATCTGAAATAGATTGGATGGATAATAATGTTAAAGAATGTTTTTGAAATGGATTGGATAAAAGCATATTTARGATACACCTACTTGCAAGAACGTTGTCATACGATATTAGGACATTAGTAATTTAGTGAGAAAGGAATACATTATAAGACAAAAGAAAAACTTCAGCTTCAGTGATCTTCTTTTGTTTTCTGATATAATTCCTATCCCACTAAATCCGGCACTAATATTCTATTTTCGTATGACAACGTTCTTGCAAGTAGGTGCATATATATTGCAATGGATTGAACTAACGTAACGTATAGAATAAGTACGTAAAGTAAAGAAATCTCTTTTTTATTGTACAACTATCTTAAAAACGTTTTACMTAATTACATGCGAACTCCTACTTCCAGGTATTTTTAAAAGAACCCTCTCTTTCAAGCCTTTCATATATACATTTGGAATAATAAATAGATTAAAATATGTGCTCCATAGATGATTGGTTATTCGGAATATCCTAGATGATACAAAACTATTTATAAACAAACTATTTACAAACTTATTAAAGCAACTATGTAATTGCGCAATTTTGTATTCGATAAGAGAAAGGTCATTATATAGAGTCGACTCGCATTGAAAATCATAATTTTTGTCAATTTAATTGGGCGTATTTACGAGTTGAACAAAAGTTGGAGTTAAAGGCCTTTGTAAGCGACCAGCCATGAACTTGATAAAAACCTGTGGCTTTTCAAAGGTTTAGTCATTAAGTATTAAATTACAAAAATCGGAGTAAGAATTTGAAATATAAGAAGGGACCTTTGTAAGCGATCAGCCGCTTCGTAAAGGCCGGTCGCTTTTCAAAGGGTTAGTCATTTACAGTTATAAAGTAAAGAAATGAAAGATACGAGTCACAGAAGGCTATGCGGCGTTCTAAATAATGACCATTCTTAACTGTTTGATATAATATTAATCTTAATAATGCAACTTAATTCGTCGTTATAATCATGACAACCATGTACATTTTTAACAACAGCCACAAGGAAAACTACCAGGCGTTTGCTCGACTTAAAATATCTCGAGATCATAAATTTTGAAGGAAACTTCATAATTAGAAAACAAATAGAAGTAAAATGCGGATATCACATGTGAGTGTTATGGATGAAACCTGTCGCTGTTATTCATGGTTCCAACTTACACAATAGAGAGCCAATCACCATTGCAGCAGTTTTCCCACCAAGTTGACGAGGATTACGTGGCTATTTTATTTATTTTTACAGGAAAGTAAGCGCGGTTGATAGGACTTATGATCAATTTTCTGCGATTAGTTTAATATTCTGATATTTTGACTAATTTGTTGGGCTTGCGGGACATTGGCAACGGTAGCTGAAAGTTGGAACCATGAATTAGTGAAGGCATAACGAAAAGTGGCCAGAAAGATGGGTGTTTTAGTTTACGATAAAACGTTCCTAACTTGTATAATCTGGTACAGTACGTTTTAAGGTAAAGGTGAAGGCTTTTTTTGAAAAGTAAGAAGTAATGATTCGAGTTTTAAACGAAACGAGTCGGAAAAAAATAGCGAAGCTACATAACTGGAACAATACTTTTTTGTCAGTTTAATGTCTTGGTAAAGGGCCGCTTGTTTCGATTAAAATTTTAAAAGTGACTATGTCCCTCCCTTTTTTCTTCTAATTCACTGCTATCCTTTAACAATTTAAATTTTAAAGACGTTTACCTCTGAGCTGCAGTGCTTAGGTTAGAAGTATAAAATGAAAAAATTGGGTCATAAATCGAAAAGGCTAGAATATTCACACAGCATGTAGCATGTAGTAATTTCACTAACTACAATTAAATCATTTCAATTGGAACATCACTATACAAGAGTTGCTTGTTGATCATTGTCGTTCACCCACTCCAACTGCAAGTCCTCTTCATGAAATGACGGCAATGACGACGGATTCCCATTGACCATGTTGTTATTCAAATAAGATGAATCAACATTTGACGATGACCCCGCTCTCCGGTTTTTGTTCACCGGTAGTAAACAAGAGGTTGACCCGTATGCTCTATCTGCAAGATTAGGTCCTGATCTCGATATGGATGAGTTATGACTTAGCGAATAACTGCCCGCATTTCCGGTATTGCTAAGTATTGCTAATTCACTAGTGTTAAGGTACTTCTTGTTCCTTTGCGAGAAGCTCTGCGGAGGTCGCAGCATTGCGCTACCAAACGAAAAGGCCCGGTTGGTTTTTGTCGTAGGGCTATACGGTGATAACCTCGGATCGCTATCACTAGAAACACTCTCCGTGCTCTTAGCAGCATATTTATTGTTTGTCAGACAAGGACTAGGAGAGCGTGAATACCTCCCGTTCAGATTATCCCAGGATGATGCTATTATTCTATACGGTGGAGAACGATCGACTTCTTGAACACGCGTCGATTCATCACCTATTTCCTCGGAGTTCGTATAACTCGAACTAATCGACGAAGGCTTCGTTGATGAGTCGCTTCTAGTGTCGCTATCGGAGTACTGAAAAGCAGGTCCATTACGCGAACCGTCGTTCACAGCACGAGGGGATCGCGTATTCCATTCCGTAGATGGACTATGGTGTATCCTAGTATCGAAGTATCCTTGATATGATCGTGTTGAGGGGCTTGGCGGACACCCAATCCGCGAAAAAGAACCATGAAAGGACCCATTAACGAGACAATTATCGACATCAGTCCGGCTGATGTCGGAACTTGAGCTTCGTTTCGGTAAGTTGTTGGCGGTGTACGCTCGATATCGCGCTGGTGATTTTGGTGATGAAAATGGGTGTGGATAGTACGGCTCACCATTGAACTGCCTTACGCTACCAGGTGCATCTTCATCTATTAAGAAAAGAAATCGTCAGGAAACATGGAAACAAAATAATACTCTTTAGCTTGGGCATAATGTTTTCCCATTTCATACCACGTGTCATTCTCCTAAGGGTAAAATTCTATGTTTGAGTTGTATCCATATTAGTGTCTTGTCATGGAATGACACGTGGTCTGAAATGGGAAAGCAATACGCCCAAACTAAAAAGGTCTATTGGGAAGAAAAACTTTAGATTTTAATATTATTATTATTGGTGAAGTTATGGTTAGTACCTTCGTCGTCTTCGTCGTCAATCACTAAATATTCTCGCTTCAGCTTTATCAATTGTTCCTCCATGTCTCGAAGCTAGGAAAGATAAAACGGAAGATAAAAAAATTAATAATTTTACTTTGACGGTAACGTTACGTAAAGAAATAAGGTGGGAGGGGGTGGGGTGACTAGTAAAAAATCAAATCGAAAAGGAAAAGGGTGGCTTTGTGTCGAAAGCGAAGATTTCGAACGGCTGACAGTAAAAAAACTCATAGTCACTCGTGTCGCGCTGTGCCGTGAACGTGACGGTATTGTCTCACGGTCATGGCAAAAGCATGTCTCCGTCGTTTCACAGTGAAACAAAATGAATTCTTGAGAACGAGTCATTGCTGTACAATACTATAGGCTGGTAAAGTGGGACCAATTCGGATGACGATTTTATTTACGTTTCATCAGGAAAAATTTTTAGCGGAAAAAAAACCGAGCTCCAGGAAGGATTTGTACCCGTGACCTTCTGTTTGCGGATGAAGTCAAAAATAACACTCAGCGCTTAGCCTAGTTGGTGGGAAAACTGTGAAGTCATAACGGAATGAATTTATCCCGAAAAAAACAATCCCTTTGAGAAACATAAACAATAGTAATATAATCGAGAAATCTAACGACATACTAAATATAGAAAGGATAAATACTAAACTACGTGAAAGATTGATGGTTGTCCGAGTGCACGAACACTGAAGAAAGGTGAAGCGTGTTAATGCTTATGACAGCTAGAGAATGCAAATGAACTGATTAACCGGCTAGGGTCTGTTGTTTCTGCAAAGCTCAGAGGAAGCAAGCTTATTGATCAGCCTAATGAATAGTATTCCTCGAGGCTCCATTGCATCGGACCTCTCACAAGATACATGGTGCAATTCTATTCTCCCCGCTTATTAGCTGCAAACGTTTTTCCGCAAGGTGCAACATCAACGTAAGATCAAACGGCCGATATACAGAGATTGGCCACTTAATACAGGTATATAGATTACTATAAAACCCTTTTTGGAGCTTTGACAACTGGTGATTCAATAAACCCCTTGCAGCACGTCGGAATGCAGCTTTGGAGGACATTACAATAGGTTTCCAATTCTAAGGAGATGGGAATTCTATTGTGTTGTCCTCCAAATTGAGCCTCTTTGACGTCACATGCAAGTGGCCTATAAAGGTTCAACTGCAGTTACTTTTACTTTAGGCAATGATTGCTCCCAGCAACTTGTTTCATATATTGTTGGATCTCTCGGCACTTCGACCAGTTATTTTTACTATGATACAAAAAAATTGCACCGTGCACTTGCAACTCATAAGCACAAAAGCCTTGAACGACTGCCTGCAAAGTAATAAAGTCAAACAAACCTTTTTAAGAGATTTTTGATACATAAGTTTTCTTGACTTCCTGACATTTTTGTTGACATTTTGATCTTCTGCTAGTTTCTGGAGGTGTGGAGAGGTTAACATAAAGTAGGTTATAAGATGTAAGAGTTGACAGCATTAGTAGAATATGATGATCATGAATGGAAAATGACTGGTTTCGTTTGTATCAGGTACTTACCCGAGCTGCACTGGTGATTTTAGTTTGGATCTCCGTTTCCATTTCATGCTTCTTGATTTCCTCGGTCTGTTTAAAAAAAAGGGCGTGAAAAAAAAAAAAACGTGACTGCAGATGTAGCATCAGAAAGCCTAGAATGAAAAGGAAGGAGGAAAGGAAGGAAGGAAGGAAGGAAGGAAGAAATGTAAGAAACGCAAAGAAATGTACCTCATTCCGATCTCCACTGACAACATAGTCAGAAAACTCAAAAGAAGTACCAACTCGTCTACGGATTGGAGGTAAAGACTTGCCAGCCGTGTATGGTGTCTCTGGAGGATAAGACCCAATAAACTCCTGGGATAAAAACACAGTATAGTTATACACAAAACGTGAGCGGTAATATAACTTCTGAGAGAACGAACAAGAAAAAAGGCATTCAAATGTAGGAACTCAAAATTCCACTGATAACGACTAGTGGTTACTAATAGGACTGCGTAAATATACAAAAAAGAAGAAGAAGAAAAAAGCAATCTTAAATGACTTTTCAAGACATAGGAAAATTGTTCGCCTGCAAGTTTGCTTGATGAAAAGAATGTAAAAGCGAAAGAGAAATATCGTAAATAAAAACTCGTATCAGTGCTCTATGTGTTATTTTTTTTACAGAAGAAAAACTTACTGCTTCTTGTATGCAAAGTTGTCGCAGTTCATCAGTCTTTTCCTTGAGTTTTGCCATGAGAGCATCTCGTCTTGCAGCAAGGGCTATAGCCATTTCTCTATCTGCTGCTTTAGATGAAGCAGTACTCTCTACAAAAGATGYAACACACAGTAATTTAAAGACTGAACATGCTGGGCAACTTTGCTGCACCAACACAGTAGGTAAGCAAGCAGAGAAATCAGGGCACATGCATCGAGAAGTAATCTTTCTGAATCAGCAAAATACATGAAACAGTTATAGAAAAGTTTGGACAAAGTGGATAGCAGGCGGAGAAATGATGGTACAGGTATCGATAACTAATCTTCCTGGACCAGCAAAACATGCGAAACAGTTCAAGCAATGTTTCAAAGAAGTGGATAAGTGGGCAGAGAAATTAGGGCACCTGTAGGCATCAAGAAGTAATCTTTCTGGACAAGCAAAATATGCAAAACAGTTCCAGTTCAGAAATGGAAAGGAGGAATAAATTATCTGTTATCTAGGGCAATGTGTTATGATGTTTGATAATGAGACAACTACCACTGTTAACAGCAATTTTTGGGTAAATGCAAAACAAAAATGGTCAGTCTCCATTGAGACGAGAGGAACTTAGGAATTTGGCAACTACTACTAAATATTGAAATTATAATGTATGAGTTTGGATTTACTATACGGGTTCAAAGTGTCCTCGTTTTCCAGGTTATACATTCCATGTAAGGTTATACGTTCCATTACTTTTAATTCGACCCCTTTGAGCTGTGCCACTGCTGTACTTGCACTGGTAAATAGCATAACCAGTCCCCCCCCCCCCCCCCCCCCCCCCCCCCATTATTTACTGATGACTCTCCCTTTTGAAGCCCCACAGCCCCTCCCCTTAATAAAAAAACGTACCTGTAAAGCAAACATAGGGTAATAACCCCCCCCCCCCCCCCCCCCCAAATGCCATGTTTTTGCTATCCTTTCATCTTTTCTCTTACCTCCATCTAATGTTGAAGCACTCAGGGAGTAGTCACTGCTTACACTATCACTAACTTCAGATGCTAGGGATGAAGGGATGGATACAGATGATGTGGTGAGGTCTCTTGCTACATCTCTTAGTGTCCGTGTTGCAGCTGCTGTTACCTGTATTTATGAATAATAAGAATATAAACCTTTAGAAAAAATTTTTTTATTGTCATAGGTTTCGTTATGGAAATGAATCCTACGAACAGCAAGAGCTGGTGCGATAGACCCTCTGGAACTCAGGGTACGAGTTTTCCTTCCTCCGCAAAAAAAACCCAAATGATAAATTCTAATTGAATCTTTTTTCCAAAGTCTGACATCCATACCTCTTCTGTTTTCTTGTCCAAATAAAACTGGTGTTGACTGATAGCCATTGTCCACATAGCTTTAGCTGAAACTGCTGTACTGGCATACCAACTATGAACCATCACATTACTAGGATTACCAGATTTACGACCCATAGAACCACTCCTGTTCAAAGAACAAACACAGTCAATCCCTTGATATATTTATTTAAAAGATAAAGTGATATACAGTAAATTATCAACTTAATTTGTTTTGGCATCAAATTGAATTGAAAAGAGGAACTTTACATTGAAACCATRCATTGTGCTGTATTATGAAATAACTGTTATGAATGTCACGTTCTGATTGGTTTGGAGCGTGTGCTTTTCCGTTGTGTCATTCCTATCTAAAATAGCAGTTATTGTAGTTTGTATTTTATATGAAAAAAAACTTGCTGTGCTGTGTGCAGTTTTAAAGCTGCTGCGGATTGGCAAACACTCRAGAAGTGTCCAGAAGCACTCTGCTACGCGTCATGCTTCTCATAACACTTCTGCCGTGTTCTGCCAACCCCCGTGTGCTTTATGACTGCACACAGCACTTGTACACGTTTTCTATTTCTACAATAGTCGATCAAAAGAGCATACAGTATCAGTGGCAGATATAGCAGTTGTATGTGGGGCACACTCCCCAATCAGTAAATCTAAACTTTGTCATTATTTATAGGTCCAATCTGAGAGCCAATTTACAAACTGTAAATTGACCAATACGAATAAACTTTATCATTTTATTTGTTTAAATTCATCTTTAGAAATCAGTGATTCAACATGATTCCTAGATCTACCACTACATCATTATGTAAATACATAATTCATATATATTTGTCTTCTTCCTTTTTCAATGTGAAAATTTTAGAAACATTTTCTTTACTTTTTATTTTGGATTATAATTATGGTACACTCAAGGGAATAGTCCCTTTCACAGTTCCCTGCGCAATCTTGAAAGGTARCCRTGCCTTTGCATCAAAGCGAGACGAACGGTGAGCTTGCAATGATAGAGACATGTGAATAATTGTCCAAGGTGTTAAAAAAAGGTCTCTATCATTGCAAGCTCACCGTTTGTCTCGCTTCGATGCAAAGGCACAGTTACCTTTCAAGATGGCGCAGAGAACTGTGAAGGGGACTATTCAGTAAACATACCTATGCCTTAACTGAATAGATTCATATCTACAACAGACAACACGGAAAATCAACTTATACTTATATTCATGTCAGAATATTACACAATAAGGAACTAAGACAAATGTGTTAACGAATGCATACGGGATGAAGTAAAACAGCAAGTACTACCTTACAGATACTTAATACGTAAATTAAAAATGACATTATAGGGCTGCATTAATTTACATGTTTATAGCTACAGTTATATGTTTATATTAAAGATGTTCAGTTATTTACCTTTAAAAATGCTTTAATACCATGCTTAAACAATTATTTCATTCACTATCATTGCTTTATTGTTTATTTGTTCCCAATTATGAATGATACTGCTATAATGATTACATTGAATTAATATTGGCATACATGAAAAATATGTTGGTAAAGTGGTATGTATGAACAGTAAGAATGAGGATAACATCAGCAGCAACAACAGCAGCAACAACAACAATAACAGCAGCAGCAAAAACTACAATGACAGCAGCAACACCAAAAGCAGTAACAACAACAATAGCAGCAGCCTCAACAACAACAACAGCAACAGCAACAACACTTCCACCTTTACCACAAACAATAACAACGTCAAAAAACTATGATAACACAAGCAACAGCAGCAACAACAACAGCAACAACAATGATGACACAAGCAACAGCAACGTCTTCAAAATTTTATTCCAAAAGTTAAACAATAACAGATAAAAACAGTTTCAAAACTTACCTATAAGAATCTCTAATTTCTAACGAAACTTTCCTATCTCGAAAGTAAATATTCTCAATCTGATTCCATTGAAAAATCTGCAAACAAATTAGGAATTGAAATAAAATACGGTTAGAAGAAATATAAATATATCAAGCTGAAAAATGTGTTCCAGCGTCAACATTTTGTTTTGACTGTTTTGATTCTTTTGACCTAATTGTAACATGAACTGTAGAGTGGAAAATAAGAAATAGTCTTACTTTTCTTGGTTTAATTTTGTCATTATGATCATAGACACCAATTCCTCTAGGACTAAAACCAAGCCACCAGGGAATACTTGTTTTATCCTGTTTGTTGAAAACAAAACTGTCATTAAAATGATATAAAAATCTACAGTGTAGGTAAAAGCATATATCATAAGGGGACATAACAAGCCGCAAGCCCGATTTTATTGCGTTTGGGCACATTCACTCTGCATGTTTAGAATATTTCTCAGGGATTAAGAGTGGGAGAAGTGTGAAGCTTTTGTTTTATGGCAAGCAGGACGCCTAACTGGAAAGACCGCTTTATATTGAAAGCAGTTGAAAGGCATTGATCAAATTAATTTGCTTGTCCTTCTGTGGTTATTACCATGGTAACATAGGGATCCTGGTATTCGCAATAAAATTGGGCTTGCGGCTTGTTATGACAGGGTGTGCGAGGGGGAAAGAAGTGTCTCTGGCCCCTTTCACTTTATTGAATCAATTAAGAGAAAGAGGGAGGAAAAGAAGAAATAAGACTCTTGCGAACTCAGGTCAGTTTCTCAGTTGCTTAGCAACACTATTGGTTTTCCATGTAATGTTCACATAAAATATCAATCAATATGATGTAAAGTCGATGTCTCAAATCTGCATGTGTAATAAGTATGATTTCTAGTATAAAACTATAAGGCTGACATCACTTATTTACAGAACTGTGGAGGTTTTCACCAAGATAGTAGAGTTTTATTTCACCTTTCTCTTCTAATGTGAATGAGAAAATGGGACTCTAGGAAGGTTAGGATCATGAATAAAGAAAATAAAAACCAACCTTAACCTCATAATAATGGACTCCATATGTAGGAAGACTTTGAAAAATACACAAATACCTGCAAAGGGCAAAAAAATGTTGTCAAATGCCATATATGTATAGGTCAATGGGTGGCATGGGTGGCGTACAATGCTAACGCGACGTCTTTCACTGCTGTGAGTCCAACGGCTCGGGTTGCTGGTTCGAGCCCTGTGGTCGCCAAATGCGTATTGAGTTTGTTTGATGTGTTGTTCTCTCCTGTGCCACGAGGGTTTTTCTCCGGGTTCTCCGGTTTTCCTCCCTCAACATGTGAGTCGAGCGTTGTGTGCATAAAGTGAAAGCTGCAAGAACAATCAGCCTGCTCTAACAAATAAAATATTATTATCGAAACCTTATGTACAAATCAAGATGTAGTACATGTACTCAATCAAATGAAACAAATGGTTTAGTTACCTAACAATCGTTTCACCTCTAGTCTGACCAGCAGATGCTTTGTAATATGACAACACTTTTTCTTCACTAAAGAATAATAACATAAGAGGGGAGAGTCATTTTAGGTGGGTAGGGGGGAGTGGGAAGGTATGTACAGTTGTAGCATGAATAAGCTTGGACCTTTGTCACATGGTAGCCATGTTTATTTCTCAAGAATAAAACCTGTTTCACAAACATACATTTATTCTTTAGCACTTGAATGTGAGGCTATGCAAGATGGAATATTTGTTCAAATCAACATGGCTGCCACATAAAAAAGGCCCATTTAGCTTGGCTCAAAACTAGTATCAAAATTAGTTATATTTTTTGTATAAATGTTATGCAGGTTTTATGAACTTACCAATAAGATATTGAAGGATGTTCCTTCAAAGTTCTTGTGGGAAGTACAGGGATCTTTTTCATGTCTTTCCTTGCTACTTCCTCACTATAAAATAATATACAAATAGTTGATATTAGATTATTAATCTTGCAACTGCAACAAAGTTTAACAGGGATCACACTTGGCCGGCATTTTAAGTTACTTTTAATTTGAAAACTCATACCTTGTAAAATCACCATAGGCAGCCTTAAAATAAAGAAAAGATAATCATCTTCAATAACCATTGGTTTCATCATAGTGGGTGTGTACACTACAATAATTTCACAGTAAGTCACCATTTGCTGTACTGTATAGTAAGTCCTCTTGGGCATAATGTTTTCTCATTCCACACCACATGTCATTCTCTTGAGGATAACATTTCTTTGTTTGCATTGCATCCATGTGTCTTCTCATGTGCAACTGATAAACAAAGAAATGATACTCTAGGGAATGACTGGGGTCTGAAATGGGAAAACATTACATCCAAGCAAGAGGTCAATTATGTGTACATAATGGGCTGGCTCTTGTGTATTGTAATCAAGATAATGAGCCTTTGTCTATTATATATATGTGGAGGTTCTTGGTTTGAAATTGGAATAATGATATTGGTTAAATTGCCTTCATGATGCTAATAAGCACATCAAACTACACAAAAGGCTTTACAGCATGATTTTGTTCATGTTTTGGGTGACTTAACGTTGGAATTTTTTACAACAATAATTAATCCATGTGCGATTGTTTAATTAACAAGGACCATGGAGAGGGGACGGCAGGGGCTATAGATCTATAGTCCTTTTCACAGTTTCCTGCGTCACGTTGAAAGGTAGCTGTGCCTTTGCATCGAAGCACAACTAACAGTGAGCTCACAATGATAGAGACCTTTTTTAACACCTTGAACAATAATCTATCATTGCAAGCTCACTGTTCATCTTGCATTGATCAAAAGCACGGCTAAATTCAAGATGGCACAGGAACTGTGAAGAGGACTATTGCCCCCCCTTTTTGCTAATATTCACAACATCTTCAAGCTTTAGCCCTCTATACTAAGTTTTCAAACATATTTAGTAGAAGAATTGCATGCAGCTCTCACCTGTAATGCATAGCCAGCTAACTCAAAAACAGCTTCACTATCTGAATGTATACTACCCTAAAATAAAAGACAAAAAATCAATATAACTATGTACAGGTATGTGGACATTATTATTTTATAAAAAATATAAAAATAATATATAAATACCTTAAAAATTAGGATCTTGGCTTGCATAAAGAATAATTCCACAGTAATTGGTTCTTTAAGAATAAGAATATTTGGTACAAAAAACCTGAAAAAAATTATTGATATTATGAATACATTATTTGTCATGATCCAGACCTTCTAATTAATTTATGCCTGACTGAGTTGACTCTATATAAACTCACTTGACCATGAACTCTATCTTAAGGAATGGATTCCGTCTTGGTGGGAAAATTAAAACACAGACTGCTGTATAGTATTTTGCCATGTTTTTCTAATAGTAGATATATTTATTCTTAATGACAAAGATTTGAATGGACAACTTGTACTAACATGTCATTTAACCCTACCCCCATTAAAATAAGAACTTGGTTCAAGATTATAAACCAAGAATGCAAAGATATATGTTATTACTACATCAGTTTTTAGACATGTCATAATGCCAATTATAGGACAAAGAACATTAGCGTAAAATTGAATATTTTAGATTCAGAGAGGTTGAGAGGTTAAATGGGAAAAAGTGTTGCCTTACCTAACTGAAAATGTCAACATTAATGGTTCTTGGTATCTTGGAAGATCATGATCTATTACTTTTTTGTCCATCCTTAACCAGTTCTGCGCATCACTGAAAATAATAGACAGCAAATACATGTCAAAGTTGTGTCATTGTATTACACTAATCATAACACAAATATATCAAGGCAACTTCAATGTGTTCAAAACTACAAATTTTTAAATGTGTAGACTTTCTACGACAACATGATAGTGAAGAGATTACCAAACAATATTACTCATACAAAAGAATATTAACTAGGTTACTTAATATAATTATTTTGGCAAGACTACTGCATGGCCATATTAATGATTATCATCAAAAGAAAACTGATTCCAGATTCATAAATATTTTTATTAAAAACTTTCACAGGGAAATTATAGCCAATGAAACCAAAATACGGGTAATTTCTCTTTCTTCGTTTCTGTATATTGAGAACATGTTTTTTCAAATCTTAGTATAAGAATGTAGCAACAGTTCCAGACAAAGAGATCTCCACCTTTCCTGTACAAAAGCCAAAAATAGCCATTTTTCCTGACTTAAAACCACACTCAATAAACCTTTGATTAAAGAGATCACACCCAGATAATTACATTACATACATGTAATGGTTTTATTAGTGTGGATTTGCTTTACATTTAACATGATGTAGTACTAGTAGTACCGAACAATTCCCCCTCCCATTTGTTCTTTTTTATTCTTCCCTATTGATTGCTCAATGAGCTACATGGGGATGAAACCAAGAAAACAACATGACTTATGAAATACATAAATTAAAACCATGATAAAAAGATATGTGATTCATTACATAATTTACATCAATAAAGATTTTCCATGTGCTTGATTAAGATAAATTTAATGTCTATAGTCATTATATAAAAATGTGATAAATATTTTTCAAATTGAGTATGATTCGTAAACTAGTATAAATATCCTGCATAACACAATTAAACATCTGTAAATCTTTACAACCTCAACTGAATGCACACTCATATTGTTAATTAATACTGATTTATGAATAGGATGTCGGTGGTTGTACGGTTAACCATTATTTAAAAAAAGATTATGACTCATGTCCACTGAAAATGTGTTTGCAACATTACATCTAGAAATAAGATCAAACACCTGGAGAGCAGATGGTACATCACACAGAAACATAACAAAGGAAAGAGGGTTTTGAGATATTGCTATTATACCAAGCAGTAAAAGTGTTAAAGGGGCACTTGGATGAAAACGCCCCAATTTTTGAAAGTCCAAATAATTGAAGTATATGAGGAAAAYATGACTCAATTATGATTATGTAAACCAGATTAGTGAACATTTTAGCCTGGGAGCCACTTGCTATTAAGATATTTTGGTCCAAAAGCAGAAAGAACAATAGGGTTGAGTAAATGACGTCATTTACTCCAAATTTAGATGCTGAATAAAACTGATCATTTTTATCTGAGCGACATTTTACTGTTAAGAAAATATGTTGCTTGGCTACTATTGGGGTCATATAGATACGTTTAACTAAGTTTAAAGTCATTTCCAATTTTTATCCATTTTCATCCAAGTGCCCCTTTAAGAAAAGGCTAGTGCATGGGATGTACTGGAAATTTAATACAGGTAGTAATGCACCTGAAGCTAAGATGTGGGACAAATAGACTGAACAATAAACAAGTCTTAAACAAGTCAATAACTTTCTACATTATTATATTATATTACACTAATGTTTTGATGGTTATCCACGATAATTAATGTAACGCCAACAACAGGCAAAACATGTGTACTTCATGGTTCAGTTGTTGGATACATGAATATAAATAGTACAAAGAATGGACTGCATGGAATGGTAAACAAAAGAAAATGCCTGTACTTGACAAAACAACACACTGGAACACCTAATTAATCTAATTAACAAATCGAGATAAGGAAATGTTTCCTGCTCATTGATGAACTTTGTAGCACAGGAATCTCTGATTAACATATGTGTAAAATGCTCTTTAGTATTATATTCTTCTTTTAATGCAAAGAGACTAATTGCTAGGCTGTTGTATAGCCTTTTATCATTCCTTACTAATCCATATTCCTCTGGCAGATTGTCAGATTTAGTTATGAATAACATGTAAGGTCAATGTATGCAGGCAGCACGCTGACAGCATTTCCATGACAAAAGTTTAAAGTTCTGTCAAAATAAACAAAGTTGAAAACATGTTCCTATCCATCATGACTGACAATCCGATAGGATGTATGCGAGTTGGTTGCAAAGGGGTTCAGGAAAATACTCTGTGAAATAAGTCACCAAAACACATTATTCAAAAAACCTCCACTTACTTCCGTTTAAAGGCTAATTTTATCCAAAAGAAAGAGTTTTTTTGACAGAGAAACAGGGCGATTTCCTGGCGTACCCCTTTTCCCGGCGACATATCGACGTGCAGGAAATATTCCACATACTTTGGACGTCATGTTACGACACATCAAACCTAAGTCATCATCGCAATGAAGACGGGACGACACGTTAACAGTATTGTTACATACTGTAACTACAGATATCTGCCTTTGTCGACTGAGAACAAATCTTTGAGACATCTTTACGTCTGTTTAGATGCTCTAACTATTTTTAGAAGCAATCTAAGTGAGCTTGGATGACCAATATTACGTAAATGTCTGCTCGCAATTATACTACGAAAGCACTCATTCGAGACTAAATGGCCCGCGGAAATCTAATGCAACTACATTTCTAAATTTTAATTTGAAAACCAAAATAAACTTCCTAGAGGTTAATATTTAATTCGTTTTCCCAAACAGAAATATTTCTCCAATGAGGAAATGATATGAAAAAATCATCGTAAGCTTTAATTCTAAAATCTCCAAACGTATGAATAAGACACAGTTGGGATTATTTGGAAGAAACTTTAACTGGAGGGTTCGAAAACCATCTCGAAGAAGTTCCAAAAGCATGACGAGGTTTACTGAAACATTTCTGATAAAAAGTTCGTAATAAAAAAACTGCTTTTTTCACGCAAAAGGGCTAAAAATAGTCGTTAGTAATCCCGACCCAAAGTTGGTTGACATACATACAATCTATAAATGCCAACTGGTAGTTGGAAAGTCAATATTAGTTTTACGATAGAAGATGGACGGTTACCTGACTAGCAGTTTTAATAACAGACTAAGACGCCTATTTAACCTTAGAATATGAATTTTAAGGGCTATAATTAAACCTTGTATTCAATAAGAACTTGACAACGTAAAATTCTGTGAATTCTTTGCACTCAGACATCAAAACAGCTGATTATATTACCCAACTTATCAAACCATATTTATTTTCCCTTCAGCTAGTGGAAAAGGCTCGATATATCCGAAAATAAACTAAATAATTCTTACCTTTCGTCTGTATATGCCAATCCAAAATATTCTTTCTCGTGAAGATTAAAATGAGACGCGACCATATCGAGCAGATCACAGGCCATTAGTTTGGGCTGAATTCAAGTGAAGATAACAAAACTTCATTCAATAAAGATGTCTTTGAATGCCAATCTTAGACGAAACACCACTCTTACCTGGATTGAGAATTCTAGTCGTCGTTCGTCAAGAAGAATAACTTGGCATTTTCGGGGCCTTCGAGTATCATTCATTTCTCCAAGGAGTTTATAGTTTTATATCGATGTGTTCCTATAGCTCCTATCTATACGGTACAACAGTTTCTTGCCAATAGCGTCTCACATCAATAAACATGTCGCTCGTAATGCTATAATACAGTCTTCCATAGTTGGTTCTTGCAGTTAGCACTACAACTGAGCGTTAAGTTACCTCAACAAGGAAAAGCTTTAGCGATTATTTGTCTTAACTTGCCGGTAAACCAACCTCTCCATCTTGAGTATTATAGTTGAGGAATGACACAAACTTACTGCGCATGCCCAGCTGGACTTCCCGCGAGCTGTCAATCATGTCGACTTCAGTTTACTTACTAACATAACTACGGCTCTTCAACTGATAAGCTTTTTCCCTATCATTTTGTTGAGTTCTATTCCTTCTTATCTCGTAAATACCTAAGAAATCCTTTCCTCAACTATTCTTGTGTTATCCATTATTACCTTTACACTTCATAATAAAGACCCGTTCGGTTCACGACCCTCGGGAGTCCCGTAAAATTGTCGCACATTCCTGTTCACTTACAAAGGGTCGTACCGGCTCCTTTTCCATTTGGCCAAGCGGAAAACGCCAGAACGTAAAATATTAGGTTGACTTTAAATCAGTGGATCACATTTTGTATTAAAAATAAAAGTAGGATCTTTTAGCAGGTGACATACCTCTCTTAGCATCATCTCAGTAAGCTGCTAACGACGCAATAAATACGGATTTTTAAAGGTTCGTTCAAGCTGAGTGGAGGGTTTATAAAAGCTTAGCTCTTGGCCTCTACCCAGTAGATGTCAAGAAATGAAAATAACGGGAAAGAAAACTTAAAAGATAGTGAGGATTATAAATCCGGCCAAGTATGCGGTAAGATCACATCTGTCTCATTTCATTACRTTACATTCTATTCCTTTTCGTTGCGTTGCTATTTTATTCTTTTTATTTTTATTTCTTTTCACTTTCTGTTCTATTCTACTCTATTCCATTTCTATCCATTTCTATTTTTATTCCCTTCCCTTCCCTTCCCTTCCATTCCCTTCCATTCCCTTCCATTCCACTCCCTTCCATTCCCTTCTATTCCATTCCATTCCCTTCTATTCCCTTCTCTTCCATTTTATTTTTTTATCGATTAGAAAGGATTTGTATCGTGTTTCAGTTACCGCGAAAGCATTACGATGGGCTCCCTGTGTCATGTGCAGTTACCAACATGGTGGATGCCCACGTAGCACGAAAACACTGGCGATGCACATTAGAAAGAGCTGAGAAATTTATCTCCAACCAGTTCTTTTCGGACATTAATTTGTATAGTAGGTAAGAGGATCTAGTTCTAATTTGTTCCGGTTCAGTAACCTAAGTATATAGATCTATCGTCAAACCCGCGAAACTTTTGTATTCTTTAACTAGTCCAAATCTGTAGTTCTAAATTTTGACATTCATTCGTGATACTAATGAATGAAGGGTGGGTCTTTTTTCGCATAAAGTTTTGATATATCTTAAGATTATTCGATATTGTGTTTAATGGGACATACATATCAGAACTGAAAATTTAGAAATTCAGTGTAATCTCAAGCAGCCTGTCATTCACCCCTCCCCCCTCCAAAACGTAGTTAGTCCTAGCCATTTGTGATGAAAATGATTATGGAAAGTTTGTAAATATCTAATCAAAACCTTGCAAGCTTTTTAATCGCGATAGCAAATTTTACATTTTATGTGTGTGCTTGGGAAACACTGTATTAATCATTCTTAAAAGTAAATGTGTTGACAAGGACTTTCTAAATGTTTGATTCTTGCATGTCTTTTTTCAATTTTGTACTCATAGGCTTTATCCAAAATCCTTACCAGTTACGTCCATAACTCACTATGCTGCTCCTGGTCGCATAACATATGAAGAAGCTGTGAAAGGGGAATATAGTCCAGCAAAAGTTGGTGAAAGCTTTGGGCCAACGTAAGTAGTACATCATGCATCAGGGACAGATTTAGAGCAGTGCTAAATGAAGCATGGCTATCTCCTCCCCCATTTTCATCTTTTATTATTAAATAATTATGATAATGTTGAACTTATTTATTTAAGGTGGTCAACACATTGGTTTAAAGTCATCATTGATATTCCAGAAGAATGGACTGGAGAAAGAGTTCATTTTCGTTGGAACTCAGAATCAGAAGCAATGGTAAGTAGTAATATCGTGAATGCATTTGGAGTAAGTGTGCAAACTCTTATGCTGTAAAATGTACCATACTCATCTACATCTACATAATTTATTTGCAAAATCCAAAAGGACATCTAGCAAATTCCAGTTCAAGTGCAAGATAAATTAAATTAATAAATATGCGCAAATAAGATAATAATAATTGTGCTAATAATGATTAAATAAATAATAATTGCTTAATATGTGGTTTTACCAATCATACAGCCCCCCAATCAACCCTATATTGGTAACCTTCCAGTTATACCTTAACTGGACAGGCCCCGACATGGGACCAACCAGGCAGCTATACAAATTATAGGCAATGAAACCTCACACCCCCAGTCATGGAACAATCCGACCGGAAAAACCCCACGACTACCAAACCGGACTGGGTCTACTGCCTCGTCTAATTTGGCAGCCACTGGAGTCCTCCATCCAACTATTCCCCAACTGGGCAGCATGGAGCTCCATTACCCATACTCAAATTAGCAATTAGCTTGAGATTTCTTCATTTTGCTCTATAGGTTTGGCAGAATGGTAAACCTATACAGGTAAAATACATAATATTTTTAATGACATGAACTACTCTACATTGCTGCCATTACATTTTTTCCTCACAAATCCTTATAAAATATTTTATTTTGTTTAATGTGGATGATGCATACTTTACCAAGGGTTTAACAGGTGCAGATGGACACCAACAGAGAACAGACTTTCTATTGTCATACAAGGCAACAGGGAATGAAAGGTGCTTAGTAATGCATGTCACAGTAGTATCACTATTATATCTGTAGGCATTTTCATGATTTGTACATATATGATGCATTGTATAGAGTACAACTCAGTTTTAACATTGATGGAAGTAAATATTATTTGCTAGCTACAGGTGCTAAATGCATTCATTGTTTTCATTGGATTTCTTTAGAAATTATGTAACATGTGATACTTATATTTCCTTTGTAAATATCTCAGCTACACCCTTTACATTGAAATGGCTGCCAATGAAATGTTCGGAGCTGGTAAGGATGGTCTTATCAATGCCCCAGATCCATCACGCACGTACAGTCTGTCCATGGCTGAGATAGCTGTCTTTGACACCGATTGCTATGATTTGCTTACTGACTTGACTGTTATAATTGATCTTGCAAAGGTATAAATTATATCACCTTATAATGATGCTCCATTATCTTAATGAATCTCGATGTAATGGGGGTATGAGATATTGATATTCATGTTAATGCATGCAGTATGTTGTTAATATTAAGTAACTTTAATCAGCCAGGTGTGCAGGGTATATTTTGTAAACAATGTGCAAACATTTTTTATTTACTCATTTTCAAAGCATTACCTTTAATTAATGTTCATGTTCTTGAATTTCATTGAAAAGCATCTTCCTGAGGGCAGCAGCCGCTCCTTTGAAGCCCTTTACACAGCCAACAAGATTGTTAATGCTTGCGATACCAGCAACAGAAGCACCTTTGGAAAGTAAGTTGCTAAAGTCATGGATAGTGCATGCCACTTACATGTACCCAGCTCATGCATCTGCAATCCATGTGAGCCGAAGGCAACAATTTCATTTTCTCTTCAGTCCTCTTAATTACTCCCAATAATATTTAACTACTTCAAGCATATAAATGACTAAGCTCCACTCTTATTTTTGACAAAAATCATTTTGGTTTTAGGGTGCACAAGGAGATAGCAGCTTCCTTCTTTGCACAAAAGAATGGTGAAAGCCAGCACAAGGTGTACGCCATCGGCAACTGTCATATAGACTGTGGTATGCCTTTACATTATGAAAGTGAATATTATAATAATATCATATTGGCAAAATAATATTATGATGCAACACTGTTCACGTTATTCTTATTATTATCTTATCCAGCATATTTTGCTCTTTCTTTATAGCTTGGTTATGGCCAGTTGCAGAAACGATAAGAAAATGTGGAAGAAGCTTCGCAACTGCCGTGAGACTTATGGAGAAGTATCCAGACTTTAAATTTGCATGTTCACAGGTACATTGGGCTATGTAGAGAGGTTTTGTCAGATAAAAAAAATTCTTTTTCATTCAATAAATTGTCTTGTCTTGCAAAATAACCACTTTATTATTATTGTCTGTCAGTCTATTTTCATTCATATTTCTTGCCGTAATTAACCCAAAATCTTCAATAAATAATGCAGATGCAGCAGCTTGAGTGGGTGAAAATTCATTACCCAAGCTTATTTGAGGAACTGAAGCACTTTGCTAGCAAAGGACAGTTTATTCCTGTTGGTGGGACTTGGGTGGAAATGGATGGTAACATTCCCAGTGGTGAGGCTTTCATCCGACACTTTCTGATTGGTCAGAAGTTTGCCAAAGAAGAATTTGGAAAAGAGTGTGAAGTGGTAGGATTTTGTTTTTTCATTTTTCATATTCCATATTTTCCATACTCAAATTGGTAGCATAATGATATTGTTCCCTTCTCACTTCTCATGTTGTTGAACAACCACTGCATTCTAAGCATTAATATTATTATAATGTTGTTAGGCTTGCTAGTAATAGCTAAGGAAGCCTTTGAAGCTGAGATGGATCTTCTATGAGTGGGGGAGTGGAGTCAGAAAAGATGATGCCTCAATCTTCCTCATCCATTTCAAATAAGTGCACCAGCAATGCAGGCTATCTTAATGTCGGAAGTAATATTATTGTTCTCTCCATTGCAGTTCTGGTTACCAGATACCTTTGGTTACTCAGCTCAGTTGCCACAAATCATAAGAGGAACAGGTATCAAGTACTTCCTGACACAGAAACTAAGCTGGAGTCTTATTAATAAGTTCCCTGTAAGTATAAGCATCTGTGACCTGTCACAGTGATCATTATCAAGCAGTATCTATCGGATCAATATCAGCATGCACTGTTATGCAAGTGCAGGCATAGAAGCCCAAGGCAGTATGCACAAACACCAGCATTCACAAATGCAAAGCACAAAAACACATAATACAATATAGTGAGCATGCAAAACCAGCAAACACAACCTAGCAATGTAAATTGATCAGCTAGAAGCTTTTCAGTTGGTCGAAYATTTTGAAAACCACCAAGTAGCTATTCTTGTAACCAAACTAAAATATTATTTCTTTATTATTTGCTTTAATTTCTTTAATTTGTTTATTTATATTATTATTTTTAGTTTAATACTTTTTTCTGGCAAGGAATTGATGGATCAAAGTAAGACACTATCATTTTAAAGTATTAGTGACTGTGTTGCGCATTAGGTGATGGGTATCACTATTAGCGTGGAATACTATATTTTTTTAATGCATATTTCTCTTTTCTTTCATTACCTTGTTATGCATTTTTTCTATTTTTCCTGTTTCCTATATTTATTGTATCTTTTTTTCTTCCAGATGTCTCACCCATTTTCCACCTGCCGATACGTATGAGTCAAGAGCTGATGCTGGTGATGTAAGTTGGCCTTCGGTTTTATTACATTCTCAGGAATAAGAAACCGTTATGGCATATCATAGCACATCAGTGCAGCAATGCCAGAAATGATCGTGACTATCACTTTATTCCATTGCATTATTGATAATAAATTCAATCCAAAAAGTATGTTATATCATACTGGTAATGGCAATGTCAGGAACGATTGCTGATGCAGAAAACAAAAACATCTAAAGAGGATGGGAAATCAGTACATTGTAGAAAGTTCTTAGTCTCGTGTTACATTGATGTTTTTAGGTCCTGAAGACAGCACACAAGTTGAAGGACAAGGGAAAAGTACATGGAAGTATTCTGTTGTACGGACATGGTGATGGAGGAGGCGGCCCCTCGTAAGTAATCCTTGCACATGACGTGTTGTTGTGATGCGACACAGCAGAATCTGCACCTCTTCATAAGTATTCTATGCAATGAAAAAAAAAATTTTTATTTACTTTTTTAGAGAAGAAATGTTGGACATGCTGAAAAGAATGGAAGATGTGGACGGATGTCCCAGGTCTGTATACTTCCTTTTGTTTCCTCTGCTGTTCTCTCTTTTTTTTCCTTCTCTTCCCTTTTATTTTGTTTCGTTTCGTGGCCTTCCCTTTTCACGTCGGTCGTCGTCCTTATTATCAATGTCATCATCGTTATCATTATCATCTTTGTCGTTTTTATCATCAAAAACATCATCATCATCGTCGTCGTCATATTCATCATTATCATCATCTGAAACATCATTATCATCGTTATTTTTTTGCTATCTTTATCTTTTTAGAGTGTCGTTATCCACTCCTGAAGACTTCTTCACCGCAGTTGATAAACAAGATTCCAATAAGTTGTGTACATGGGTCGGTGAATTGTACCTTGAGCTCCACCAAGGAACCTTTACAACCCAGGCAAAGATTAAAGCTGAGAATCGTCGAGGGGAATTCTTATTACATGATGCAGAGTTCATGTGCACTTTAGCATGGGCCCTTGGTGGACACCGTCCAGGTAAGATACATTCACAAAGTGATAATTATCAACAACACCATTATCATCRTCGTCGTCACGAGGTTCACCGTCATTGTTCATCATCACCATCGCGATTGTCGTCGTCTTTATACAGCTATTTAACAAAGGTTGGTGGAGATATGGGCGATGCGAATGCAAAAGCGAAAGGTCACAACAATATGGAATTTTCCCAAACTTTGTCTGCACGTTTTTCCGGCGTATTTTCTTCCGTTTTGACATTATTAACATATAGGTATAATAAATTTCAAGCTTGGTAAGCAACATCAACAAAATATTCACTAACTTTAACTTAATACGCAGCCCGTAAAGTCCTCCACTGGTTATAAATGTAAAGCGCATTGAGATAGATGAAATGCGCTATAGAAATACCCCATTATATATATAACCTTTTTCTAAATAGCTTTGTTCGTCTTCTTCAATACCATTCGTGTAAACATTTTTTTTCTAGATTTGTATCCAACCGAAAAGTTTCTTCAAATCTGGAAACCATTTCTTCTGAATCAGTTCCATGACATATTACCTGGTAGCTGTATTCCAGAGGTAGGTCGCTCATTAGGATTTTTCGTTTTTACTTTATACAAGACTGAACGAAAACCGGCAATATGATTGTGTAAAGTTGACAATATTTTTTTTGCTTCAGGCTGTCACTGATGCCTTGCAAGCCTATGAGGGTGAGTGATAAATACACCACTTGTAAAAAATAAGGACATTACTTTTTATCGATACCCTGAAACATCCCCTCGGCTGATTAGATAACTCACAGATTAAATTTGAATGTAGCTTGTTAGGTTTTGTGGAGGGAAGAAAACTGGAGAACCTGGAGAAAAAATTGACCCTCAAATTAGGGTGGACTGACCCATCGAACGAACATTCCTTTAGTACGGTACTATTAGCTGCTCATATAACCTGTTAAATCGTTTGATTTCATTTTATACAGAGGTGCACGCCGCTGCCACCAAAATCTTTGACACAGCCTCCAACAATGTGATTTCTAAGGTAAGAAAGAAAAAAAAAACATACATATATGATCGTGATCTGCTTTGCTGTCGGTAATTCGATATCAGAGAGTTTTAGATTAACGTTTTTTCTTCCCGCCAACGGCAAACATAACTAACGTAAAACATCGAACGRCAGGATTTTTCATCGTTTTCCTGTATTTCACTGTACCTTTTGCAAGCCTTCTCGCCAAAGACAAATATTCTTATGTTTATCTACACTACGTACTTAGTGATTTTTGCGATTCCTTTTCACTATTTTTTAAAATATCATTTCACTAGTCAACTATCGTTTCTTAAACTTTCTATTCTCTGTCTCATAGCTGGCACCAAACACCACGGACTGCACATTGAAGCCAGTCATCTTCAATACCCTCTGCTTTGACCGACAAGAAGTGATACCTGTACCTCAAGAGCTAATAAAAAATCTCTCAAAGGAAGAACAAATTTCTATTGAAACACAGAAGACAAATGATGGACAAACATTAGGTTGGTTTTCCTCAATCCTTTTACCATTTCAGAACAAGTGTACGTAATTCTCTCGAGTATAAAATTCTTTGTTTGAGTTGTATCCATATTCATGTGTCTTATCACGTACAACTGTTCAATAAAGAAATGACACTCTAGGGAATTCCAAATGATCTGTAAGGGGAAAACACTATCTATATTACGTTTTATCAACCATCACTCCCACATTTAATACATTTGTTATGCCTATAAGCGAATGTAATTGATGCATAAGGGTTAGAAAGAGCTGCAAGTCCTCATAGTATTTTTCTATTCCGTAGCTATGGTTTCAGTACCTTGTATGGGTATTAATACTGTGAATTGTACACCCAAGACAGAATTCCAGCCTGTGGTCGTTCAAGAAGACCAGGTAATGAAAAATATTTATTTTATGTCCAACATGGTGGAAGTGATTGCTTCAGACTAAGATCAAACGACGAACTTCACATGAGCCGAACCTAAGGACAAAGAAGACCGCCTTCTTATCTATTGTTTCAATTAGGTTCGGCTCATGTGAAGTTCAGCGATTGACCTGAGCCTTAGACTAATGCCTTAATCGCATAATGCTTTAAAAATGAATTTCCTCTGAATTTTCTTCTCCAGGAAAGTGGTCATGTGACCATACAAAATGAGCATTTCAACGTTATATTTGACAGCTGTGGTCGAGTCGTGTCATTTATTCACAAGCAAAGTGAAAGGTAAGCAAAACAAGTACTGAACAAACTTTATCCAGCAGCATGTCAGATGCTATTCACAGTGTATGTGTTTTTCTGGTAAGCTGGTAAATTTGGAAAATACTTTTCTTTCAGACAAGCTGTCAGTAGTGGTTGCCATGCCAACCAGTTTGTCCTGTTTGATGACATACCTCTGTACTGGGATGCTTGGGACGTGATGCCATATTACCTGGAAAAGAGGTCAGTGTATAAAAAAAGAAACAAAGCATAGAAAAAAGATAATAGATATACAGTAAACTTTGTATTGTTGCAATAAATATTTAGGCAAGTGACTCGCAAATTGCTCCAAGTCTCGCGAAGGTGCCCAGTTTTACGTCCATCGCGCTCGTGTCTCCTTTCCCGCCGAAACCTTGAAAAGTCTCCTTTACCAGAAGTGCACGTTCCGAAATTCAATTTGCGAACGGAAAACAATTCCAAACAAGACATGGAGGAATTCTTGCTAAACAAGGCTGTTTGTTTGCAGTTAACGAGCTCTCGTCATTTGATTTCAGGATCTCACTTTCTGAATGTACCAAACCAAACGGAACTCTTAAGGTCGTGGAAAAAGGTCCATTACGAGCTACGCTTGAGGTACAGCGCTATGCGCTTTCTTTTTCTCGTATCACATAATGGTATTTTGCTTTTGGATCGTAGTTTCAACGCAAAGCGCTCCAACAGGCCAAGCCGATAAGCTAAGATACCATGCAAAAACAAATGAAAGGACGAGAAAATGTACGAGAAAAAAACAGCAATAACATAACAACGAAAACAACAAGTTTACAGAAAGAAAAAAAACAATGAACGGACAAACAGAAAAAACTTAACAGCTTTAGTAACACAAGACGCACAAGTATAGGATAATATTTGTGTGTGTTTTTATTTTTTTATAATTTTTCTTTTGATTTCAGTTTTTATTTTGTTTGTTTTGCTTTTTTGTAGTTTTCTTTGGCGATAAGCTCTTCCAGCTCATTAAAACAAGTCATTATTGTAGATTCTTGTCTGCCATACATCAAATTCGATACCAAGGTACGTCAGGTTGCCATATTTATTTTTTTACTAGACATAAAACCGCGATCTAAAATTTCTCGCCTCGACTTTCTTGCCAAAAATAAATAAAAGAGTTGGAAACGCTGAAATTTAAGAGAGGGGACCCACAAGCCATAGAGTAGTCAACCATGCGTCCTATATTCGCAAAAAATCAATAACAATTCTATTGACTAATCCGCTCCCTTATATTTACAGGTTGACTGGCACGAGAACAGAAAATTCCTCAAAGTTGAGTTTCCAGTTGACGTTCATTCAATGAATGCAACATACGAGATCCAGTTTGGTCATCTGCAAAGACCAACACACTGTAACACTAGCTGGGATTGGGCCCAATATGAGGTACCGTATGTAGTACTCGTATGATTCACTTGAAATAGATAACTCGCGCATGTGCTGAGTGCAGCAGTCATAAAGCAAGCTTGAATTGACAGAACACGAGAGAAGTCTTAGGAGAAGCACGAAGCGTAGACATGCATGTTATGGCGCGTTTTTCGTCCCAAAATTCAAACATGAAGTTCTTTCGTTCAATCCTTTGGTTCAAATATGCAATACTTTAATTCAAACCCGCAGTCCTTTGGTGCATGTATGTGGTGATTCCCATGCAATTATGTTTCATTACAAAGAGTAATGTTCCATTCTATAATATTAAGGTGTGTGGTCAGAGATGGGCGGACCTGTCTGAACATGGCTGGGGTGTGTCTCTCATGACTGACAGCAAGTATGGATACTCAACCTATGGCAACACTATGTTCATTTCGCTGTAAGTTCATCTATAACCTTTAATGAATCAATTTTTTCCCCAGATACCCTGAAACAACCTCTAGGCTAATCTTAGTCAGGGCACGGCTAAGTCAGATTGAATTGGTCCTTAGCCATGGAATTTAACTTGTTTAGCTCGCGCGAATCAAGGGAGAGACTTATCAATGTCTACTGATATGTAATGCCAAGCTAGGAATTAAACTAGTCCCCAGAGGTGAGAGGCGAGTGCACTACAGCCTCACCGACCTCGTGATTCTCAAACACTAGTTCTTGGTTAATCCAAGGATTTATAAAAGATATAATTAGTTCTCTACCTACAGACCACTACTCCATGTTTATCGCAGTCACACTTTACCGTCTATAACCCTAACTATCTTTTGTTGGTAGGCTTCGTTCCCCAAAAGCACCAGACGACCAAGCTGACATGGGAAACCATGAATTTTCATATGCYTTATTTCCACATTCAGGTTAGTTTTCAAGATGAAATTACTACGTGTTTTGGGCCTGGGAACAGTAGTCGTGCATGCTCCTATGAAAAAGAGAGCAGATTCTTTATGACTTAAGGGAGTGTTCGTGATTTACTAAATAACATATTCTTCAGTGACCCACTAACAACTACAGACTCTTAGTAGACCCTAAATATCATTTCCCTCTTCCAGTATTTGAAAGATATTTAATTTCCTAGCTTTCTCCGCACAAGGCGTCTCTTTGCTCTTTTTTCTCTTCACTATCTTTTCCTATACTGGGCTTCCTGTGTTGGCTGAGGCTATTTATTTCCCAGCTTTGAAAATTAATTATGATACCCATCCTAATTAAATCCCCATAGCCCTCCCTCCCTCCCTCCCCATCCCCCGCGCGCGCTTACCCTCATATTTTAAACATACCGTATCGTAAGCATGTGTGTCGCTCTTTTCCTTGTGTAAGAAACCACATATTAATGACTCGTGTTTTTAACCTTTTCCTGTAGGTACTTTCCAGGATGCTGGGCTTATTCGTCATGCCTACTGCTTTAATGAAAGTCTTCATGTTCGCGGTTGTGTTGTTGGAAGCGGTAAGAGGCAATAGAGAACTGACCTGCAATAAGATTCACGACAAAATCTACGACGTTAACCGGAAGTGTAGATGACTTCCGGGTAGCGTGCCTTCGAAGTCTTTCTTCCCTGTGGATGAGTTGACTTTACTGACAATTTTTGGAATGAAAATTCCAATGAACAGAACCCCAAAGATAAATTATTTACACTTCCGGTTGAAGTCGCCGTCGTAGATTTTGCAAATCTTAAACGGTCCTCAGATAACAGTCAGAAACTAAGTGTACTGAGCCGGGCCCAGTTGTACGAAGCCTGGATAGCGCTGTCCAACGGATAAATCTTATCCAGTGGATAAATTTATTGTTTAACAGCATCGACTTATCCACTGGATAAGG